GAGGGTTAATGCTCCGTTTATTTACTGACGTACGTAAAGCCTGATGGTCATCTGGTGGATTATGGGTGAATTACTTAGGAAATCCTGCTTGGGCAGTCAACTTACTGTATCAGATTTGGTGGATTCCAGACGTTGCAGTAGGCTGGGCGGACAACCTGACCCAAATGTGATTAAACTCGCGTCGTCCGGCGGGCCTCGTAGCCCAGGTGGTTAGAGCGTTCGCTGAACTAAAGCCCTCCCCTTGCTGTCGTGGGTTCGAATTCCACCGAGGCGCCGAATTTTTCACAGTTAAGTCCATATGAATTACTGAAAATTCCAAATAAACAAAACTAGCGAAGCAAAATGAAGCCAGCTGATCAATGATCAAGCACTATGACTGGTTAGCGGACCCAAGTTGCTGGGAGAGGTGTTAAGTAACACAACTCTTCAACTCTTCTCAGATATTTCGCTCCCTTTTGCTCTGACAAGTAACATCTTAGATGCAAATTAGTTAGCCTTTCATTGGGCATTCCTTGGCTTTGTGTGTTTTGCAACTCACTAAAAATGGCTTTTCTAACAATTGTTAATGGACTCGGCTTAAAACAGACGCCTGTTTCGAAATAAACATCTAGCACATTAATTATACGATGAGATGAGTTGGAAAAGCAGTCTTGTAGAAGGAGCAGGGGGAGGTTTTGCGTTTTTCATTCACACGACAGGGGGAGCGATTGGGGTTTTACTCTCCACATGGCGCCGATAGAAACCATGATTATGTCAAGTTGACGGTCTTGGTGTTGGCGGAGGGTGAATGTGTGGGCGGTCTGGAGTCCTCAGTTTCTGTAACGCGATATCCCCCATCACGTATTGCCACAAGAGAGTAAGCTTCGAATGAAGGCCTTTTGTGCACTAAAGCGCGGATTCGCTAAACCCTAAGGCGAACGCCATTGCCACCTTGCCTTCGCCCAGATACTGCGGCACTTGCTGATACCATGTACATCACTCGAAAAGCTTTTGAGATGTGTGGTTTACAGCCAATGTTCACTAGGACAATAAAGAAGTGTTCGATAAGACATCAGCGTAATACCCACTGCAATACAGATGGCTTTTAGTTAACCTCCAGGTTAGGTATCTATTCCCGCGTCCTGACGCTAACCCAGAACTCAAATCTAAACTTAACCTTAACATTAAACCTAGCCTTAATTGTAACCCCAACATACCCTGAATGTAGCATAGAAGCATCCATTTTACGGCGGCTCATAGATTCCTGTCGC